GGCAATTACCGCAGGCTCTTCCAGTTACTTCGCGACACTGATCCCAGAAAACCAGGCGTCAGTGACACAATCAGAGACAGCGCGGGTGCGCTGATACATAGTAAGGAGCGCCGTAGGGCTCGTTGGGCGGAACACTTTCAAGATCAGTTCAGCTGGCCCCCTGCTTCCGGACCTCTTCCTACTCAGGTGATGCAGGACGAGCCATGGACGATTAGTTTAGAGCCTCCGTCGGAGGCCTACGTCCGAAACGCGATCACAGCCCTCAATCGTTTTCGTGCCGCTGGCCCGGATTCCCTCCCACCTGCACTATTTAAGGATGGAGGTGAGGTCCTCTGCAAAGCACTGACCTCCTTATTCGAATGTATCTGGAAAGAAGAATGTCCCTGCTAATTGGAGCCAATCGATCATAGTGGCAATATACAAGAAGGGCAGTCGCGCAGACTGTTCTAACCACAGGGTATTAGCCTAACGCCAGTTGTGACAAAATTACTGGCCTCGACTCTTGTTCGTCGCCTAACTGTGGGACGGGAAGGTCGTATTGGAGAAGAGCAGGCCGGTTTCCGCTCAGGGCGTGGCTGTATAGACGATATATTCACTTTACGGCAGGTGCTAGAACAGCACCACGCATACCGCAGATCGACAATAGCTGTGTTCCTCGATTTCAAGTGTGCGTTTGATTCAGTCGATCGATCGATTCTGTTCTAAATACTTGCGCGAAAAGGTGTTCCCACGAATTATGTGAACATCCTTCGTGCTCTATTTTCGAACACTACAGGCCGCGTCAGGGTCTACGGTGTCCTATCGGATAGCTTTCCGACCACAAGTGGCGTTCGTCTGGGTTGTCCCATTTCCCTATTTTTGTTCAATTTCGTCGTGGATTCTATCATGGAGTTCTCCCTTACGGAATCTCACGATGTAGGCCTTGAGTCCTGTCTGGTGAAAGATTAGTTGATCTAGATTATGCGGACGATATCGTCTTGCTTTTCGACAATTTTGGGGTTGCATAATCAACCCTAAATAGCCTGTCCAGAGTGGTCCCATTATTTGGTATGTGCTTTGCACCTGCCAAGTGCAAAGTGTGGCTGTAAGACCACCAGCCACTTGATGACCCATTGACGCTTGCCAACGAGGAACTCGAGGTGGTTGATCATTTCACTTATCTTGGCAGCTGCATCAGCAATGATGGGCGCATAGAAACTGACGTCAGTCACGCATTGCAAAAGCCAGAACTACCTTGAACCTGCGGCATCTTTGGCGACAGAAGGGAGTTTCCCTCCGTCTGAAAGGCCGGGTATACAAGGCCACAGTGAGGGCCGTTCTGTTCTATGGTAGTGAGACTTAGCCCCTTCCGTCTGGAGATCTGAGGCGCTTTCAAGTCTTTGATCATCGTTGTTTGCGAAGCATTGCTGGTGTCGGATGGCACCAGCTTGTCCGCAACGATGATGTGCGTAGGCGAGTACTAGGTGGTGATAATCATGCTGCCTCTCTAGATCAACAGATAGCACTGAATAAGTTGCGTTGGCTCGGGCACGTGCTACGCATGCCTGATCACGCTTACCTAGGAGGGCCTTGTTCAATCTACCGGGTGAAGGGTGGCACAAGGCTCGAGATGGACAGAAGTTGACTTGGCAGCGGCAAATGAAGTCACTGACGACCAAACTGGGTGCCGTTGGTCCGTCTCGCCTTCCGGGCTGGAGTCCACGTGACTCGCCTTGTGCTTGGCTCGAGACTTTACAGGACATGGCTCGCAGTCGACACCAGTGGCGCGTTTGCTGCCGTCCCCTAATCGGATTGCCTGTTTAAAGTGTGTTTGGTGCTGAGTTATCTGCGGGATAATGGCTGATTATAACGCGAGGCAGTGAAAGCCGTAAGGAAGCTGTTTCGCCGATGGCGTCTTATCTTTGCACCATAGCCAGCTGTTTGTGACGCTATGTTGTCTACACAAGGTGTAGGCGCCTTGGCCCTGAATGTTTGCTCAGGACATTAAGGTTTTCAGGTAAGTCCCCTTCTCTCCCTCTTCTTATTCTTTATTTCATAGGTCCTCATGGTTGTATTGCAGTGAAGCATCAGTTCAAATGGCTGATGTTCTGCTGTTGATGATGATGCCTCGTCAGTCAGGTTGTGGAACCGAACTTGGCGAAGAGCAGTGTTGATTCTGCTCGACTCGCAGCACTATAGATATGATGTTCGCTTGTCGTCAGTTGCAGGAGAAGTGCAGAGAACGACACAAGCCATTGTGCTCGCTTTTTGTGGATTTCACCAAGGCATTTGTTGCAGTGAACCGAGAGGCGTTGTAGCTGATGTGGGGTAAGTTTGGTTGCCCGCGTAAGGTTGTAAGTTAAACTGAATGTCTGCACAGCGGCATGCGAGCGAGGGTGCAGCTGAGTGGAGAGACCTCGGATGACTTTACAGTTGTCTCTTGTGTGAAGCAAGGCTGCGTCTTTGCTCCTGCCCTGTCTAATATATATCTTCATGCAATGATGTCTTGTGCTTTTGATGCCGCTTGTGTTTACGGTGTTCGTGTGGAGCATCGTATTGATGGTGGGTTGCTGAACATCCGTCGTTTCGGTGCGAGAACTCTAGTTTGTGAGACAACTATCCGTATGTTGCTGTTTGCTGACGACTGTGCGTTGTTTTCACACAGCGCGGAAGAGTTGCAACACATGACTAGTGCTCTGATATTGACCGCGGCCAAATTCGGGCTCACCATCAGCACGAGCAAAACTGGCTGTCTCTTTCAGCCTTCATCGGAGATGCAAGCTTCAATATTGCAGTGAATCAGCGTTGGTGCTGTAGCATTGGAAACCACTTCCCGCTTCTGTTACCTTGGGAGTGTGATGTTGGCTGACCAGCAGCTACACAGTGAGCTGCTTATCCGCGTATCATATGAAGCGGCAGGAATCGGGAGGTTAGGTGCCTAGTGTTGAACAAGGTCCAGCTTACCGTCGGCAGGAAGCTGATGGTGTACAAATCCATGGTGCTTTCCGTTCTTCTATACGGCAGTGAAACTTGGACTATGTACCGGCGAGATTTGAGGTATTTCGAGAGGTTCCATCAACAATGTTTGCGCCGGATTCCGCGCATCGTTTGGGACGACAGTTTCGAACACGGAAGTGTTGTGACAAAGTGGAGTGTATGCCTCGTTACCAGGATGTGATCGAAGTGATCCTATAACGTTCTAATATTGAGCGCAGCTTGGGGGAATCGAAAGCGGTTGATCGGCATGCATGCCGCTATCTGATCACCAAGGCTGTTGTCGCGGTGCAAGATAAAGCCTTCGTGCATGCAGAGAAGAAGCGGCAAGTGCGGAAGCGGCAAGAGCGGAAGCGGCATTTGCCGATGGATTGTACTCCCTCAACATCGAGCGCATGGTGATATAGCATATGCGGTCGACAGTGCCTGAGTCAGGTAGGCCTAGTGAGCCACTCAGGACCAGCATCGAAACGACGACGTGTCCTGCTGAGAACCTAAGTAGAACCGGCGCATCGTTGGTAGGTACGCTGCATTCGATTTACTAACCGCGTGCTTGCTTGCCGAGTTTCTTTATTGCAAGCGGTGGGTTTCCTATCGTGTCTCAATGCATATCATTTTTCCCTCATCATAACGTTTACCTGAAATTGCACACGTTGTTTAATATGATTGAAGTTAACTTCGCTAACAATTCTCCGTTGGTGACCTTATCTTCTAAACTATATTTTCTGCCAATCGTGCACTTATCGCGGATTCGCTGGTAACCAATTTATTATTTGTTCATTTGGTGTAGATTTGTCAGCATTTTGCGTATACTTTATTCATTATTTAATTTTTTCTCATTTCAAGTGATTGGCCGTTGTTTGATATCCCCGTTGTGGCCGCACTTGATGTGCATGTTGACAAGGTGCCTACCTGTCTATTACCCACTATCTGGTCCATACTGTATCCAGGAGACAGTTGGTCGTTGCTGGAGGGGTCGGGGTGCACCGTCCTTGTGGCCGTGTTAGGATCAAAGAGTGGTTCCATGCAGTCAGTGTGGAGCGGACTACGGTCTAGCCACCGCCTTGTGTGCGCTTGATTTCCCCAAATACAGCGTGCTTGTGTTTGCTGTGAAAGAGTGGGCCGGCTCCGTTGATGAAACGTGGCTCCCATCCACATGCCTCCCGGTCTTATTCCTTCGGGTTTACACTGGATATGGGGTATGTGGTTGGAGCTGTGGGTGGTGCAGCGCAAGCCCCCCATAGTCGTTCTGTAGGCTCAGGTGTCCTGTGGCTGGACACAGTGACAGGCAATCCCCAAACAGGATGCCGTCGTCAACCCTGGATAAAGTTGACCCACGGACCGATGACGCACCTTTGCTGGACTGATAGCCATTCGCATGGCACTCGACCGGCTTGGCATCCACATTCTCATACTATTATGCTACTTGTTATTTGTAAGTAGGAAAGTGTTTTAGAGAATTGCAGTTTCGGATTCCTGTTGATTTGGCAGTTTTGTTGGTTTATCCCAGCTGCTCACAAGCCAGATTAGGCTAACCCCAGTCCAGCAAAGCACCACGCAATCGCTTCGTCATTTTCCGGATATTCCATGGTTTGCATTTTCTCGGTCCCGTTTGGGGGACCGAACTCATGGCACCAACTAACCAGCAGCTTATGCCGTGAGATATGTCGGACGAGGCAGACCGTCCGAACTTGCAGGCTAACTGGGATATAGCGCAACCTATCCTCCACTTCCATGCAGATTACTAAGATTAGGACACAAATAGAGCGAAACAACCGTCTGACACTTTCCCGGTTTTGGGGTTAGACTAGTCTAGCATGTGAACTGTTGGTACGAACCAGTAATATTTTACGTTTTCCAAACGTTCATTCCCGAAGTGAAGTCATCTATCACTGCTTAAGGCGTCAATCTAGCAATTCATAGAACACAGGTGACATCTTTTATTAGTCAAAATTCATTCGTTCAATGTGTTCCACTCGTTGTTAAACGCTGTGAATACAATTGTGCTCTGGTTCTCTATCACCAAGGCTGATATCGTCCGAACTCGCGTCAAAGAAGATGAAGCACTGGCTAAACAGAAAGCAGCCGAAACCCAGCTCATAGCGGACGACGCGCAGCGCGACTTGGAGGAAGCCATTCCTGCGTTGGAGGCTGCTAACAAAGCCTTGGACTCCTTGGACAAAAATGACATTTCGGAGATTCGAGTTTTCACAAAACCCCCACAACTTGTGCAAACAGTCATGGAGGCGGTTTGTCTTATGCTGGGTCAAAAGTATGTCAAATTCACCGATATACGCTTGACTACTGAGCTGTGGAGTAACTGACTTGTTTAGACCGCAACATTTTGTAGAAATAGTGTACCTTTACAAACTATTCACGCTTAACCCTTTTGAGTCTCTTAAGATAAAACCCACAAATCTCCGACGCAAGTTTCAATGTTTTTATGCAGGCATTGAATAAATGAACTTACCGATTACCATATTCGCTTGTAAATAGCTAATGCAGCGGTGAAAATGATAAAAGGGCGACTGGTGATTTGTTATAAGTATAGAACGCGGACAAAATGCTTGCTTATGAACATCCTGTTCTGTAGCCGTTTGATCGTTCATCTTACCGCTATACGGATATTCGCACGTTACTTCAACTATTCGTATAATTACGGATTACAGTCATATGAGATATTTGTTTAAGAAGCCTCTGATGCCGTTTCAGCAGTTGGGCGAGAATGCTTAGAGTCATGGTCAACATAATGGGAAAAGAGAAAGGGTGTCCGAATGGCCCCAAAATTTGGTGGCTAACTAAGAAAATAAACCAATAAACCAATCTTGTTTTACACTTCAAAGTTAATCTGCCAATGCTTTGTGAAAAGTAGCGAAACATTATCTTCGTTTGTATGCACCGAGGGTAATTAATAAAGGTGAGGCAATACCGGCATTATTTTGATAAAAGCACAGGCAGTTAATACAATGGTAACTGATCACCCCGTCTACAACCACATCTGCATCCATGACTTCTTTATGTAGCCAGATCTCCTATAACACAGTTGTTTCTACGTGGGAGTATTCAACCTAGCTGCTCGGTTTTTGTTGTTTGCCATTTACTTCTGAAGGCGAGCGGATATTAGCACTTAGTGAACTAAGTATGCTTTTCATTTCTTTCCTCCGTATGCATAAGTATCGGCAACACGCCGGCATGCCGCGTGCCAACGACTGGCCGTCACGCAACGGCCTTAAGTTGCTCGTGGCACATACGAGATCGCCTGCACACTCGTGGAGTCGAACCAGTGCTCCTCAGATTGCAGCAGGGTAGGACCTCTTATCCTTTTGGTCACCGGCCGTATAATAACACTGCGTGCAGTGCAACGTTTTCTTCGTGCAGCAGTTGCGCATCTATTGTATTTGTTGTCATTTGATTTTTACGGACCAATCAAGGGATTGTGAATAACTCACTTGAAGAAAAACACAGTGGTTTTAAAACATCGCGAGAGTAGCTAAACAAGATTCTAACTGCAGAATGAACAGATGAAGTATAAAACAAAATAGTAGCAAAATGCCTTTGAACGAGTGCGTTTTGGCGATTTCATAGAAAGAAATATTAAAGTCCGATCAAGCCTGAAGCCCCTTCAATGTGTTGGACTTAATTGGAGCATAATGCCTCTAATTCTTTGTCTTTTCAGGGCGGACTGGGTCACTGCGAAGACAGTGCTGGGGGACTCCAACTTTTTGCGTCGGTTGGTTGAGTATCCGAAGGAGGAGATAACCGATAACCAGTTGAAGCGATTGAAGAAGTACATTGACAATCCTGAGTTCACACCAGAAGCGGTAGAGAAAACCAGCAAAGCCTGTAAATCAATGTGTATGTGGGTCCGCGCGTTGGACTTGTATGCACGAGTGTTTCGAACAGTTGAACCGAAGCGAAAGAGGTGAGGATGGGATGTAGTTTTTTGTTCGAATGCCTTTGTCCTTCTCACTGGAACTGACTTTTACTGAAAGAGAACACATAAATAAATAGTTTTAGTCTCGATGAAACGAGACACACCAATACAGGCATGATCAAGTGGTTGTCAAAGCCACAGAAACATACTGGGCGTATATACACCATACGAGATAGATAAGTGTTCGCAAGTTACACGGTTAAATAAGTGGTAAGTAGTTGTCACAAAGGAAAGTGGCAAAGATAATGAGCATGCCCACTGGAGTCAGGTAGATGTGTGGAACGAAAACAACGTGAAATCTCTAAGTGTTTCCGTTAGAGAAATGCTGGGTTGCAGTTCGATTAGTTCAGGATATTGATCTCAATTATTCCGTGTGTGTATGTACCAACTAGAATGATTGATAAACACTGTTTGACGAATCGGTTAGGTTTGGTTCATATGCCATTGTGATCACAGATTGCAGTTATCGGGATCTTATTAGTGTTTAGCAGTAGGCAGTGACTATATTTTGGTGGCAGATCACATCCGCCACGTCACAGTGTTGCCAATCGGACATTCTTAGAGAAGTAAGAATGTTTAAACCAACTGGAAGAACGGGAGTAAATCCCTCCAACACACCAAAGCCCAGTGTTTAGCACGAACACAGCAGTACATCGATAAATTCCCGGTTGTACTCTACGGTGTTATTGTAGCTAGATGCTAATAATTTACTCGGCCCATAGAAGCAAAGCGACACATCTGCGGGATGGATTAAGCTTGTAAATCACCATAGCAGCCGTTGAATGTGAGCGTAGAAGCATTTGTTGTTCTGTGCTTTCTGACCATCTAATCACCAATTAGGTCTTCGGAACGAAGAAAACCACTGGCCTTTGTGGCGGTTGGTTGACAACACGTGGAGTTTACCGGTTGTCAGCGGTTCCGTCACCGCGAGGTAGTCACACAAGTCCCACGCATTTCTCTACGACTTCTTTAACGTCAATACCCGCAGGAGTAGTTTAGAACACCACATGATGGCTGGCAGTTTAATGGAGGAAGTATGTCGCTGCAAGTTAATTCTGTCCACTACATCAGTGGATGATGTACCGCGATATCACAGTTGGTAGACCTTTGTGGTTTCATCCCGTTGTTACCCACAAACTAATGGCATAAGTCGATTGTCCGTGGGTAGCTTCAGGAAGGCTGCGTGTCTCGTATGATTAGAGGGAGGTTACGGTGTTCGGGCGCGTCCTGATAGTGTGGCGCACTACTAGTGAGTAGTATGGGGAAACCTAAGCAGGCGTGCTGATTTAATAAGTCATGGATCGCTACGAGCTAAGGGCTCGTAGTGCATAAATCAAGCACCACTCAAATGTTGTGGATGAAGTCACTCAGTGGAAAGAAGAGCCAAAACGGCATCTTGAAGTAGTCCAAATGGACTCTACTGGTCTATGTCCAAAATAAGCCTGAATCGCACTGGGTGTCCGTCGGTGTAAAGCGTCGGTCACATAACACCTAAGTGATTGTAACCTGATTGCGTGGAAGCATTGTAACTGATTCACTTGAGAAGCAGAATTTTAACTCTAGGCTGATCGTTTATGGCGGATCAACCTTATTCGATATTGGAAAAATAGACACGTGAGTGTTTTCTTTGGTTAATGAATCACAGGATGATTTTCAATGCGTAGTGTGGCTTGTACATGGCGGAATATAACGCTACTATGTTAAATATGTTTGCAGTTCTTATGGGGTTGGCATTTGAGGTTTCGAGAACCACCCTAGAAATGTTCAAGTGGACGTTGAAGTGCATCAGATTCAGTCAACATGATTATCACAATCATATTATTAACCATGGATAAAATAGGGGACCTAAAAGAATACAGACAAGAACGATAAATGTAGTCCGTACAGCATTCTGAGAGGCGTAAGCTTGAGAGTGGGTCAACAATACAGTCGTGTATATTGTTGGCGAACTTACTTCTCCTTCCGATCCGCGGACCCTAGAAAGGTTTCTCGAACTCAGTTGTTTGTGCCCCCAGTTCATCCATTAAAATAGGATTAGGTATCTTACTGAGCAACCTAAACTTGGATACATAAATGGTTATTCTGGGACATATTCAGGCTAACTAGATTCTTTGGAATTTTACCTAAGATTGCCGTACGTAAATCTGTGCACTGATGAACAATCCAAATGATTTTTGCAATAAACGTTAGTCATAACAAATTGTTATTCTGTTTTGCGTGGTAGCATCTTACCCACACAACTTTATTGTTTTTTGTACAATTACTCGTTCTATTCATCGATGCCCCTTTTCTTTGATATTCAAATATGCAATTCCTTCCATCACCAACTTACGGAAAATGATAAACCTATGTGAGTTTTACCCGTCATAAACCATTGCTCCATTGAATGATTGCTGGAGAAAAATAGGATGCGTTGTGTTGGTAACTGAGCCACTGAAAACATGAGGGTGATCGATCTAACGTCCTTTTATTCATGGCTGCACCTTGCGTGATTAAAGTAGTAACACAGTTAAGACAGATCAATACCACAGTGACCTCTGTGACGGCCTTAGACGGGTCATTACCAGACTGCGTACTGAAAACCATGGAGGTGTCATACTGCGCCTAGAGACTTCGTTGGTGGTGCGAAAGCCTGAGGTGACACCGATGTCCAGATAATAAGTGAACCCATAGAGTGTTCCAAGTTGCCTTTTTACGCTCGGAAGAGTTAAAAACATGTTTGTTAGGCTGAGAGTGAGTCAGGTGCCGAAGTCTGTGATACTCTGGAATAGTCCATACAGTGGTGCATAGAAAAGGTGTTAGTTCAACTTCAAGCCAGCTTTATCCTAATCACTGTACGCGTATCCACTGGTCATCCGGTAAGATATGCACATCGCGTGAGGAAGGTAAATTAGAGTTATTGTTGACCATTTGGACCGGAGAATTACACAGAAGAGAGAAGTGGAGGTACTGGTGAAGCACCTGCGTGTTATGGGTGACTGTAGAGCACCATTGCCCACGGAGGAAATGGACACATCGTAAGCCCATCTCCAAAACATTGTTCACCAAAGCAGACGCAAATGGCGTAGCTTTTCCTTAGGTTTTCAGGCTTCGAGCACTCAGTAAACACCACAAAAACTGTGAGATAGCCATGGTTACTTGAGTTCTCCTCAATACAGCTAGGCGAACAGGGTAACGCATTCATCCTTCGTGAACTTAGCGAACGATACTTGATTTGGTGGGCTGGTCTTTGTCCATCATCCGCCTCAAACGAGTCTTGGGTAGTGTTGGATAAGAAAGATCGGCTCATGGAGTATAATGGGAACGGCTTCATCATTCCAACAAACCCGTACAGCAGACACGTACTGCACAATGGTTCTGTTTGTGTTTACAAATCAGCTGCAGATTGGCCACCCCTTTGTTGCTTATATTGGAAGATCAATGCTTTGAAACCACTCAGAGGTCAGAAGCTGGGAACACATTGGCACAGACCTCATTGTATCCATGATCACGGTATGGATGTTGCGGTCTGCATTGGCGCCTAGGGTTACTATAGACGCGAGAGAGACTTAGACGCACACGCAGCAGTCGGCTAAAGGACGCACCCGATCACGTGACCACGCGATGCCTAACCGCGCGCAACAGGAGACAAGAGAAGACGAAGCGCACTGTTTTTTTACGACCCACAAAGGCCGAATCGCAGTTCGGGAAATGCTTCATTTTGTGGGTGAAATAAATCACCACTTAGGACTGGTGGTTTTTTTGAACGAACATTGTCCACTTTAGCTCGGTTGTGCTCCGACTCCGAGTGGCTGGATCCTGCTACGGCGTGGGCAGGAATTGAACTGTGCGTCTCACAGCCCACGCGCTGGAGTTGGTGGCGCATTTTGCGGGGTTATTTGACGTGCGCGGTACAGAACCCCACAATGATTAAGGCCGGCACAATGAACAGTGGCAATTTCTGCGTTACTTGCTGTGTTGCGCTCATGACGATCCACTTCTTGACGTGCGTTTCAATCGGATTCATCAGACATCGCTGTGTTAGACTGAGGTAATTGCCTCAGTAGTTGAATACGGAATGCTAGACCCAGTGGGTTACGGCCGAAACAGCTTTAGTCTGTAAGTTATTAGATAAGACACTGGATTCCATGTTTCCGGTTTCGTCTTTGACACAGTTCCCGAAGTACGATGAAACCATTAGACCACTGGGCAGGCTACTTACGATACCATCTTCTCTTGGGTTTATAGAACGCGCGAGATTTAAATGATTGAAATAATCCTGTTACTGTTGACTGAATAATCACTTAACGAAGTCTAGAGTTAAGGTCAGCTTTAATGACTAAAGCACTAGTGCGCGGCACTGCAACTGAGAAGGCAATAAACTTGCTTCCATCGTTTGACAGGTGGCACACGATTGACGATATATCAATTACTCGTATGGATCAGATGTGTCTCCGCAGGATGCCCATATATCCTCTCGGCCATGTATCTGTAGCTGAGACCCCGGCTCGTGTACTATACATATTTAGCCGGTTACGGTTTGTCTTTCAACAGGCTATTTCTATCTTGGCCAGGAGATGAGTTTGTCAGCAACAAAATCTACAAATTTTCATTCCTACAGACATCGCCCGAAGATGTCAATTTGCAATTATCAGGGAGATTAGCAGTTTGATAAGCACAGCTTGGATCCTCAAAACCATTTTGTGGTGGACACAACTGCGCCAGTTGTCAGTAGTATAAGAGCTCGCAAAACAAAACGGCAACGAGCCAACAGCGGACCATAATAACCCCGCATGAAAAAGTGCGCTTCAGAACTGTAGTTGTATGCGCGCGAGTAATGGTCACATAAACAACGCACACCACGCAACTACTAGGCATAGAGACAGTGCGCACCACGCAACCCTAACGGATGAGCGCATGTTTCGTTGGTCAGAAATGATGTATCTTGTTCATGCAGTTTTTCGCAATGAGCAACTCCGCTTGCCAGCGAAAGTGGGTGGCCATCAGGTGCGACCCTTAGTCAAGTTCAGGACGTTTGTAACCTTACACCGACCTTTGGGCACGGCCAATCGTTTCGCCAATTGCCCCAACATTTTTCGCTTGTTGGGACAACCGTTGGGCTCGTTGTTCAGTGTGTAGGAGTGAGCAACTTCTATGCCCTGTGTTCAGGTTCCAGTTCAGTTATACGTACCTGAAAATTGTAAACAGATACATGATTGCAGTGTTAAAAGCTGTCCCGTTTGCGATTGTTTTGCAACGCACCCACGCGGCTTGTACTCCGACGAAACCAAACTATCAGTTGATACCATGCATGTCCATGTTCAAAGTTGATCGATGGACCGTAATCCAAGTGTGTCCTACATAATCTAGCCTTTTGTGGACATTCATATATTTTGCTTTACATGACAAAATGGTTGTGCACTCCACTTTAACTAAATGTACTATTTATAGATTATTTATGGTGAAGAGCGTTTATCTTCGTAACATTGTTTCATGTAATCGGTTCATACTTACTCAGGGGTATAGGGTGCCTGGCGCTGATATGTTTTGCGTTTTTCAGGCTGGAAGCAGCAAATGCGGAATTGGACGCAGTTGTACAGAAGCTAAGGGAGAAACAGGCTGAACTTATGGAGGTGGAGCAACAGATTGCCACCCTGCAGGGCGAATTCGATGTTTCCGTTGCGGAGAAAAAGAAGTTGGAACATCGACTCGCGCTGACTAGTGCAAGGCTTAAACGGGCCGCCAAGTTGACTACTGCGCTCGCAGATGAACAAGAACGTTGGAGCGTATCTGTACAGCAGTTTCACGGCCAGATTGCGAACGTTGTTGGGGATGTTATTATCGCCGCCGCCTGTGTCGCATACTACGGAGCTTTCACAGCAGAGTACAGGGAAAGTCTTGTTAGCAAATGGGTAGACCGTTGTAGAGAGCTAGAGATTCCAGTTAGTGAAAACCCAACTCTGTTCAACATCCTGGGAAGTGCATTTGAATTACGCCAGTGGAACAGTCAAGGCCTACCAAGAGATCAAGTGAGTACGGATAACGCCATTCTAGTGACGAAAACAAGAAGATGGCCCCTTATGATCGATCCGCAGGAACAAGCAAATCGATGGATCCGGGCTCTTGAGGCTGAGAATAACCTCCGTGTTCTAAAGATATCGGAGCCACATTTCCTGCGCACGTTTGAGAACTGCATCCGTCTTGGGTACCCCATCTTACTAGAAGATATCGGGGAAAGCTTAGATCCGGCATTGGAACCGATCTTGCTCAGACAGACTTTCGTCAGCGGTGGCCGACTTCTTATTCGTCTAGGAGACTCCGAAGTGGATTATGATCCAGGTTTCAAACTTTACATGACTACAAAGTTGGCGAACCCACATTATTTACCAGATGTATCCGTCAAAGTGACCCTGATAAACTTTACCGTCACGCCGGTTGGACTTGAAGATCAACTTCTAGGAGATGTCACGGGAATCGAACGACCTGAGCTGGAAGAGCAAAGAAATCAGCTGATAATTCGAATCAATACAGACAGAAATCAGCTTGTGGTAAGTAACTTTCAGCTAAAATGCAAACCGCAGAGCTTCCGAACGTTTATGGTGATTATTTTATAGTTGTCAACATGAGTGTAGTGTTTTAGTAGTAAATTCACATTTTCATTTGTTCTACACGCATGCTGATGTGCATATTCTTTGCGCGGCTTTAGGCAATGGAGGTCAAGACAACTGCAAACGAATCATTATTCATATTCTGGAATAAGTTTGGAACCGACTGGGATTTCATAATTTCCAAAGTGTTAGGATACAAATCGGTTTTCTATAGGCTTGTGTTGTGACAACGTTCCGCTCTTGTCACACGAACTTCTTTAGGTCAGGTGAACTAGTCCAGAGTTGGCTTGGCATTTTATGGCAATTAGAATAATGATATTGTGAGATAACCCGTCAGTGGAGAAAATGTAGTTACAGTTTTAAAGAGTCAGGAAGTCAAGCTGGTGAAACAATGGAGCATGGGACTATTCCAATCGATCCATGTAATGGGTCATTCACATGTGAGGCAGTGATGATGTTGCTGTTGGTTTAAGTGCTGATAGTTCGATGTTTCCGCTCCAACCTGAGTCCGTCCGCCAAAGCTGCTCAGATTGACCGAGTTAAGACAGTTCGCCACATGTTCGATAGTTCCACGCCGTCTATGCTGTTTACGGCTCGCAACGTCACGGATGAATGTTCAGCTTGTGCTGTTATCCGTGAAATACCAAAAGGTACGAGCTCAGCATATGAAGAATTGCCTAAAATGCTAACACCGACCGATCCGCTGTTTGCAGGATTTTAATGAAAAGCAATTTTCACAGACTTTGAGTACTACAAATTAAGGTTTTGAATCTTAACCATCCAGACAAACAGCATGTACGCTGTCACTGGTTTTTGGATCACATGAGCATGTACTCCCTATTTTTCAGTGATGAAGAAACTTTTGTTTGCATGGAACAGATAAACATCATTTTTGGGCAACATCGAACCCACACTGATACATAGGTTCACGTATTCAACCTAGCGCAAAGCTCATGGTTTATGCTGGATTAACAGGTCTGAAGATATATGAACCAGTTTTTCGTTTCCCAGAATGTAACTGGTAATTTGGGTTTTAGTACCCATCTACCACCTTTCCAATCACCGTCGTACAAGAAAATACTCCAAACCTTTGCACTTTCTTAGTTGGATGACGACGAGTTACGAAAGCAGATCGAATCCACTGAAAGATAACATCGTGATCGGATGTCGCGCTGTCACGACTGAGACATTAGCGAAAGTGTTTGCCAATTTTGGCAAGCGATTTCTTCACTGCTTGCAGAACGACGGTGGACACTTTGAACATCACCTTCGCTGATATACATGACTGTTTAAATACTTAGTTGATTCACGGGCGCCTGGTGCCAATAATGGTTGGGAGTGTACAGAATTCTAAAAGCACAGTGTGCCGCTGACGAGTCAAAAATATAGGTTTCTAATTAATTGTACTTAACACGTTCTTAACTTGCTAGTCATGGTATTGCTTACGAATACAAGGAGGATCGAATCAAATATGTGGCAGAATCCACGTTATGATCTCGAGAGGTGTCAATGCGTCTAGTCTATGCTAACTAGATGATGTCAAGAAGCGGTAGGCTCAGACAGACGTTCATGAACTAAGAAGAACCAGAGCGCTGCTGCTCTCAGTATATTTCTATTTCTCCCCGCCATACGCCAATACTGCAATTAATCATACCTACCATTGGTAGTCCAGCTTGTGCGCTTCTCGATGGGCGAAAGTTACGCGCTTGGTTGGATCTTATCCAACACGGCGTGTATTAAAAAGGCGCTATGATCCAGTTCTCGGTTAAATACGGTTGCGACATGATGACATGGCACATAGTCGCTGTGCGCTACATTGAGGCGAACAACAGGGCAACGTGGGAATAGGCAACACGATAGCCTGCAAACTTGAGGCATCATAGGTTTTCAAGGAACTAAAAATTCTTGGTAGTACCGGTTCATTCTTGCAACGAACTCCGCTGAGTTCAAATGAAAGCGGACAAATACCCTTTTATCAAGCCGCTATTATTCCTAACGTGTAAGGTATCATTGGATGTACAATCCTTGTTACTAAAATAGTGTGTTGGAAGCTAGTTTTCAGGCTACAAGAGTGTTGGCCACAACTGTGCTTTTTCATTAAGGTTGGGAAAATTAATCGCCCATCGAACATTCATCGCGCTGGTACAGGATGGTCTGTTTTTGATGTGGCTTAAACATTAAGGCAGTTACTGCACGGCTTTTTGCGTCTCACACCGCAAGACAATACGATAGCTATTGATCGTTCCAAATTTAGACAAGTTTTTATGTCCCTCTGCCCTCACTACCAAGTAAGCTTGCTGTGGGTTCTGGCTCACTTAGCCGAAATGTACGATAGACTACGCTCCAGCGCGACGAAGCTATCCATCATTAGACCGGCTAATCTCTGGTCTGTCTGTGCCTCATCTCTCAGCGACAAGGCAAGCCAAGAAATTGGAGTCGCATGACTGCTGCCTGGTTGTCCACACCATAAAGAGTGCAGGAAATCCGTGGTCCACACGCGAACTTTTGCGCACCAAAAGCAAGCGGCATGCGTGGTCGCGCGCGCATTTGCTGTCCAACACAAATTGCCAACTGAATAGCCGCACAAGGGTTAGAGACACACAGCTTTTGTGTACACGCACCAATTACGTCGTGGATGAATTATGGCAATCGGTTCAAACATCACAGATACATGACATAGTTTTACTCTCCCAATACTGGCAGACTACCATAACCTATTGCAGTACCACTCTATGCCATTCATCTCGCATGTATACCTCTTGCAGTGTCCTACGGAAAAGAGGTGGGTGCTCCCGTTGAAAACTAGACTGATGATGTACTTTTGCGGATTTACTTGATCTTTGTCATCTTGGAAGTACGCTATCACGCACGAAAATGGAGCTAGTGTGGCTCTCGGTGAAACGGAATACCGGGTGTGGAAGTACCACCAGCTAGTCATTGGCAATAAGGTGATATTATACATGCAGCTTTGCTAACGGTCCCTCTCTGTCACAGTAAAACGCAAGCCACGCAATTAAGTCCTTTTTTGCAGGGCGGTTTCGTCGTCAGTGTCAGTTGATGTGACAAAGGATTTCACAGCGGTGGCATGTACCGCCTGAGCAGTATGCTGCCACCACGACACAATCGTCGGTTTTATCAGGCGCAACAAAGGAACGCGACTAGAACAACGGTAGTATGTGCCACAAAGTTATTTTTGTGTAGAAAATTCAGATGTTGAGAAGGAACCACTATCCGTTGGTCAGAAATAACATGCCAAACTCAAGGAGGCCGTTGTCATGGTGCCTAACAAAAGAGTTCTAAACTGGAAGAAAAATCACAAATGACAAAAGCAGGCTAATACATCTGCGCTTCTATCGTGTCCATGGCGCTGTAGCGGATGCGACATCATCCGAGTCTGCCTGGTGCATTACCAGCGTAGTCACAGAGAAGGCATGAGAAGAAGCAATTCTCAACTAAGCCCACATGGGCTGACAAGTGAAATGTAGCATTTTGAAACAAAGCAACTCAATACTTGGACTGCGAACAGGGCATTCGATTTTGGTTGAGATTCGTCACGGCTACACTGAGGCAGACAGTCACCAGATATTCAGAAAAGCGCTTTACTTGGTAGGGGGTGACTGTCCGCCTGAGTCTAGTTGCGACGAATCTCCCAAAAAAAACTCAAGAAACCCTCCCACTACGCGCTAAGGACAGTCAATGTGAACTCAACCGGCTAGCCTTACACCTATCGCATCAGTCGAAATGTGAGAATCCCAAGAACACTGTAACACTATGTTTGCAGTCAATGACAACTACGCAAGAACAAATGGGTGAAACGGTGAATAGGCGACCAAAATAAGAGAAGGTTACTAGTGACGGATGCTTGCATAAAGGCCGCAACAGCACTTGCTGATATCCATCCTTGAATGCTTCCACAACCTGTCTCCGCAGCTAAGCCACCAAATCATCAGCATTGCTGATGTTATCCCAGAAGGTGAGAAAACGTTTGCGATCGAATTTAACACTGATTATAACAAAGACAAGAAAAATCATTCACTCAAAATTATTCCAGCTCAGATCTACCTATCCGTAGATTAAACTGCCAATCACACTCAAGGCGTGTGACAAAATAGCAAGTAGCAAGCAATAGTAAGACTTCTCAATTTAATTTGACCTGAATACCTTAATGACTCCATCCACGTAAAAATTTGCACACAACGAACTATCCCAATGAAGGGGTTCAATGACATCCAGACACCCATGTTTCAAAACCTTAGATTACGCCGCAACCAACCACTAAATATCATATAGCTGTCATGCTTTAATATTGCGCGTATGCGTAGCAAACATGCAAGACTATGATTACTCTTATACCTATTGATCTGCATCGTTAAGTACACAGTTTCTCGGCGATGCACGTATTATTCTTATTCTTAAGAAAATGTTCGATGCAGTGGATCTGAACATCAGCGGAAGATTGAGAAATTCGCGTTTAGTGAGTTGTACGGGGCATTATTGTGTTGTTGAGAAAATTCCTCGCAGCTAGACTTAGTCAGACAGCCACCACAATGCTTGAAAGCGCTAGGCGGCCGTTTCGTCCCATTAGGATTCGTCAGGAGTACCTCCGCCCGATCCGAATCCATAACCTCACTCTTGCGAGTCAACGACTTATGCCACTGAGCCATTGATGAAGGCGGCGGGCCGCCATGACTGATATCTAACTGCGATATAGCGCGTCTCAGCCTCCACTGTTATGTATGTTATGCATACGCAGAGAACAGGGCCGGCTCGCAGAGCTACGGCTACCTATGCAAGCCGCCACCAAGCGAGATGGCATGTAAGCTGCTAAAGCAAGTATTATTAGCGAGTAGTGGGGGATGTATTATATTCTTGAGAATGTTCATCTCAGCTAGACTATGCTAGGCATCTACTACACATCCAGAAAAGTGCTAGGTGGCCGTTTCGTATTTTTGGAACTAGTCAGTAGCGCGCACCTGCCGAATACTGTCAGATTCGATCCTACAATAGATTGGCTCCTTGTACAGTCCAGAATATAGCCTTAATACTTTTAGTTGAGGTGAGTGTTCAAGAGATAATAACCGTCTACGAATCAACCGTGCCTTTCCGCAGCATTCCTCCTTCTCCTCCTCTTCCCGCAGTTTCACATTGGATACGAAGCAAGTGGACAAGGCAGCCACGTGCCAACCGTGGTCTCTCAATCAATGAGGACGTCCTGTGACTGTTCGTAGTCGCAGTGACAGTCAATTCCAAAAACACGCAACGATGACCATTGATAGCAACAGTGGTGAACCACGTTTTGTTCACTGTTCCATAGAATAGTTAGAAGAGGCCATAGTGTTCTCTGCCTTTCAGTGGCATTGAGCGTAGTACTGGTTGATACAGCAGCATTGATGGTTGAGGATCGTGTCTCATTCAACTCTGGATGGAACTAAGATAGCAGCTGGCTACGGATGGGCCGTACGACTTTCTTCCATAATACGCTAGACTTACCTCGCCTACCTGGCTTACCGATTCGGAATTTCTAGTCGGAGCCACCACCACAACCGAGGTGATCTTCGCAGATGCAGTTATCGGAGTGAGTGCGATACCCATTACTTATCGCCATACTGTTACGACATTCATGTTCACAGAAAAACGATTAAAATAAAGGAAAATATGTGCCCGGATAGCGATTTGGAAAAATATATATGCAAGTTAACTACATGCTGTTGAATGTGCTTTAAGCTCACTTGGTCCGAGTGCGCAGCATTTCTGTGTACAAATGCAACAACTCCAAGTAGCTCGTCGGTGTGGTGTAATATCGGCGCTTCAGTTCCTGATAGAAACGATCCGCTGCCTCAGAAACACTCAGATGTACCTCAGTGGATAAACGAGAAATACTGGTCTGAAGTTGGAGAAACAGATGTACGAGTGCTTGCATTAATGTTGTCCGTGTATCGGATCAATGGGACGATGATACAATACAGGGAACAATGCTACCAGCTGATAAGTCCAGTAAGACAGCCTATGTGCAATATATAAGTTTAAATATAAAAAGTTGCCAGCTAAGTAAACCGCGCATTTGTGGACTCACCATAATATTTACGTTATCACACATATAAATCCGTCTACCCCGATTTCATGGGGGCTAGTGAGCTCAAAGTCTGTCTGCGTCTTGTTATCACTCAATAAGCGGAAATTTAATCACCCACTGCAGGTGGTGTAGTGTTTTGAGTTGTATTTTTATGGCTATCATGGGGGAAGAAATGACATAAGTTAGAAGAGCACTACACCGCTGACCGGTTCGAAAAGAAAAGCATTTTGGTGGCAACCCAGCCGACTGTATTGGGTAGCCAGTTTTAACTGAAAGCCCATCTTTTGGTTGCCTTTCACTGTGGGGGTCTCTAGGGAAGTCAGATCGTCTTTTAACCTGAGTTTGCAGGCCTGAATGGAATACTTCATATGGGACGTCACAAAGGCGTCGAGTATTTACGGGAAGATGAAAGAGTCGGACCGCCCGAATGCCTTCCGTAAGAGACCAACCTGTTGGTTCCCGGTTTAGGACACTTTCATGAATTGCTCTGAACAGCAGAGGTCATCTTGTATCACCAAACCAAGGTCGTGCCCCCGTGAGACGGTCTTCAAGATTTGGCTGCTTAGCTCATAAGTGTTACTGGGCTTGGGGCCTACACATCCTATTTCACAAGTATGCTCAGAGCAGATTATTCAATGATCCAACAAAAGCACGGTGCAGGTCGCGTTGCAGCGGTTCGTGACCTAACTGATTACCGATTACCTGCTATATCTTGCTGTCATAGGCAGAAAGCAAGAAAGCAAACTCGCTTCAAGTCGTTAATGAAGGCAAAGAATAAACGCGGTCTCAATAAAGATTTTTGTGGGACACCACCTTCTACCACAAATAGATAAGACTATGAATCCCAAAATCGAACCTGCGACCGGTGCTGAAGAATGAAATTTCCTATCCAACCAAGGAACTAGTCTTTAATTCCGTAGTTTTGCAGTCTGTAAAAAGGCTGCTATGTGCTGTGCGGTTGAAACCTTTGTAAGGTTTGGTATAGATGATATTGGTCCTGGTCCTACTATCCATCTTTTCGGTCCAACTGCCGCGGGCAATCAGTAAGCTGGTAGTACGTGACCAATCAATCAATCAAAAACAGCAGTACATCAGCCATTTGAAGTGATGCTTCGCTGCGATACAAACATAACGATCTACGGAACGTAGAAGAATGAGTGGGAAGCGGAACTTACAGAAAACCATAATGCCCTAAGCACTCATTCTGGCTCAAGGTGTCTACACATCAACAACATGTCATCACAAACAGCTGGCTATCGTGTAAAGATAAGGCGGCATCAGCGAGACAGCTTGCTTGCGGCTTTCACTGTCTCACGTCATAATCAAACATTACCCAGCAGATAACTGAGCACCAAACACGCTTTAAACAGGCACTCCCACTAGGATGTGGCAGCTGACGCGCTACTAGTGTCGGTTTTGAGCCATCCCCTGTACATTTTTGAGCCAAGCACAAGCAGGGTCAAGTGGACTCCAGCCCGATAGGCAAGACAGATCTATGGCACCAAGTTTGGTCTTCAGCGACCATTTTCCGCCGCCAAGTTAACTTTCCTCCACCTCGAGTTTTGCGCCACTCTATAGCTAGCAGACTAAACAAGGCCCCCTCAGTAGGCGATAACCAGACATATGTAGTACGTGTCCAAACTAACGTAACTTATTCAGTGCTATCTGTTGTTCTCAGGAACTAGCTTGCTTAACTCTTCCTAGTGCTCACCTATGCAAATCACCGCTGCGGACACGCTGGCGCCCCCCAACACCAGCTATACTCCGCAGACAACGATGATCAAAGGCTTGAAAGCGCCTCAGGTCATCAGACTGAAGTGGCCAAGTCTCACTACCATACAGAAGGACAGTCCTCAATGTGGCCTTGTAAACACGGCCTTTCAGACGGAGGGAAATTTCCTTCTGTCGCCAAAGATGCCGCAGGTTCAAGAAGGCAGCTCTGGCCTTTGCAATGCGTGAGCTGACGTCAGTTTCTATGCGCCCATCGTTGCTGATGCAGCTGCTGAGATAAGTGAATTGATCAACCACCTCGAGTTTCTCGTTATCAAGGGTAAAGGGACCATCAAGTGGCTAGTGATCCTTCAGCAGTACTTGCACGTTGAAGGTGCGTATCGCATACCAACTAATGGGACCATTCTAGTGTGGCTAATCAAGATTGATTGGGCAGCGCAACACCGTTAAAAAGAAAGGCGATAATGTCCATATAATCAAGATCAACTAACCTTCCACCAGACAGGACATCAAGGCCTGCATCCTGAGGCTCCGCAAGGAAACACTCTACGATGGAGTCCACGACGAAACTAAACAAACATGGGGAAGTCTGACAACCCTGATGAAGGCCAGTTGTGGTCGGCAAACGATCTGACAAGTCACCGTAGACACGGACGCGGTCTGCAGTGTTAGAGTACAGAGCACTTAAAATGTTTACATATTTCATGGGAACCTATTTCTGCGCAAGTATTTTGAACAGAATGCATCGATCGACTGAATCGAACGCACTCATAAAAATCGAGGAACACAGCTATTGTCGGTCTGCGGTATGCGTGACGCTGCTCCAGCACCTGCCACAGAGTGAATATATGCTTCATGCAACCACGTCCAGGGCGGAAACCTGCCTGCTCTTCACTAATCTGTGATTCCCGTTGCACAGTGTGGCGCCGATTGAGAATCTAGGCCAGTAACTTTGGCACAGATGGCGTTAAACTAATACTCCTGGGGTTAGAACACTGTGTGACTGCCCTTCTTGTAGCTTGCCACTAAAATTGATTCCTTCCAATCAGCCGGAACACCCTCTTTCTTCCAGATACGCGCGAATAGGGAGGTCACTGCTTTGCAGAGGTCCTCACCTCCATCCTTAAATAGTGCAGGTGGGAGGGAATCCGGGCCAGCGGCACGAAAACGATTGAGGGCTGTGATCGCGTTTCGGACATCGGCCTTCGACGAAGGCTCTAAACTAATCGTCCATGGCTCGTCCTGCATCACCTGAGTAGGAAGAGGTCCGGGAGCAAGTGACCAACTGAACTGATCGTTGTTGTGTATTCGTCCAGCATGCTTGACGGCTAATCTAGACAGACACGTGCACACAACCCAAGACATACAGATAAGTGCATATTCTCTGCTTCCCTATTGGTTCAGCCTTCTCCTTGCGACACCTTAATGTACTCACGTAGTTAGACACTTCTCAGATTACAGTAGTTAGTTTAACGGAGCGATCTTCTTACTTCAGCACATGCATTTAACTTTTCGTTTACAACACCCGCGTTGCGGCTTACGAACCTACGGCATGGAATTATATCCAACGGACACTGATGTCCCAGCAGGTGAAAGTCTGAGTGCTGAAGACCAGTGGAAAGAACAGAGGACGAAATTACGAAGGAACGTTGGGTGTTTACGTTCTGTAAGTCAACAGTTAGCCAAACCACGTGAGCCTGGTAGTATACTTCGCCCTGCAAGGCCAACCTCGTCCTACCAGAGGCGTTATAATCTCGTGATCTTTCACGCACCGGAGTCCAGTTATCCATCACCTCAAGTGCGCTACGATCACGATGTCGAGTTTTTACAGGGTCTAATTGATAGACTCCTCGACGCTGGTGAGGACTCGGTAAAAGTGAGGCAGATTACCCGTCTTGGAAAGCAAGGTGATCAACAAAATCGACCTATGAGAATCACTTTTGTGGACGAAGCCAGTCCAAGACTGATCATGTCTCGCCTAAGTAGGCTGAAAGGTTTGAAGATCCATGTTCGTCCCGACCTGGACCCAGTAGACAGGGAGCGACTCAAGTCTGCCATCATTGAGTTGAAAAGACGTACTGGTGAGGGGGAAACAAATCTTCGTATCGTAAATTTTCGTGTGGTTTCCAACAATCCGCGAATCAGGGTAAACAGGCTGCTCACACTTCAAGCACGCCCGGCGGCTCCTGCTGCAACCTGCGAGTAGCCTTCACAAACGTTTGCAGTATTATGAATAAGCGTGATGAGCTTTGTTATTTCGTTGCGTCTGAGCGGCCAGACGTAGTGGGACTCGCAGAGACATGGCTGCATGCAGAGTTATACACCCAAGAACTTGAACTCAACGGTTATTCGTGTTTCCGATGCGATAGACTAAAGAATGCCCGCGGTGGTGTCTTACTTTAAATCCGGTCTTCCCTGCGTGGGAGACTTGTGAGCACCTACCGAAGTAACGATGGCCTGTGTGAGCTACTGTGGTGCTCCATCCGCCTCAGGCACGGAGAACTGCTTGTGGGCGCAGTTTATCGCAGTCCCCTGAGTCGTTGTTTGGATTGGCTGCCCCATCTTCAAGCCCACATGAGTCGTCCACACTTTCTGCTTATGGGCGATGTTAACTGTCCTCGAATACTATGGCCTGATGTGCATTTGATGCCTGGACATAGTGAGGTTGAAGCAAAGCTCGTGGATTTGGTACTTGAAACTGGTGCATCGCAACACATATGCCAGCCAACACGCATATCAACACGTTCAACCTCGTCCTGTCTCGACCTGATGTTAACGAGCTACGAACAACGAGTGCGTGACGTTAGGATCCTGGAGCCCCTGGCTACGAGTGACCACTCAGTACTGATAGCTGATATGGAATTATCTTTGCCGTATTCACATCCGCTGCAACCAGCTCCCAACTACTGGAAAACGGACTTCGATGGTCTAGCTCGAGCAGCGAGCCAACTGGATTGGCCTCTGTCACAGGCTGCATCTGTGGAAGATTGTTGGATATTTATAAGAGATTGACATCATTGTGTTCCCAATTTGTGCCATTGAAATGTCGAAAGATTGGACCCATTAAGCCTCAATAGTTC